TTGGTAGGGTCACAAGTGGCTGATACCAGGTCAAATTCAGGTCTTTATACTAGTTGCTTTCAAAATGTAATTTAAAGGGCAAGTTCATCTTCACAAAAAATGAAAAGCAAAAGTAACACTTAACTCGCAATATGCGTCAGTTTCTGTTAAAGCAGAACTTCGGGGGAAATTGTTATTAATCCTAGCAGTGGGGCTACCCCTGCACAGCAAGGGTTAAGTGCTGGTTTTGGTCTAGGGAGGAAAATAACTCGCCTGATCCAGCTGCCTGTAACTGTGCTCCCTCCTGCCTTTCTCTTCCTCCAGTGATGGAATGTCCCTTGTTGTCCTTACGTCCTATAAACTGTGTTTAGAACTTGATGATTTAGAGCACTGCAGCAGAGGGGCGCGAGAAACTCCAGGGACCGGTCTAAAAGCAAGCCAGCTCTGAAGATCGGATGAGCATATCTTTCTTATTTTCCTCCCTAGACCAAAATGAGCACTTAAAGGAGAACTACGAGGTGAGTGCTTTTCACTCACCTCATAGTTCTAGCCGGCCTGTGACAATGAGACTGTCACAGGTCGGCTCAGTAGATCGGGAGGTGCCGTGACAGGGGAGGGGCTGGATTCCCCCCTCCCCGCTTCGATCCTCCAGCGCTGACTCCTCTGTGTTTGCAGGCGCTTCCTCTCCCACGGCGTCTGCATGCTGGTGCACGCGTCCATAGACTTACTTTGTGTCTCTCCTCGCGTCCCGGACGAAAATGTGAACTGCGCCCGCCCCAAGATGCTTTTCAGCCGCCTGAGCGGTTTCACATTTTTGGACGGGAGCACGCGGGGAAGATACAGGTAAGTTTTTAAACTGCTGTTAAAGCGTTTTAAAAAAAAAAAAAAACTTTTTGCACAGATCTACTGCTTGCTAGCAGTAGATCTATGCAAAAAAAGCTGAGGGATTAGAAACCCTTTAAGTTAACATTTAAATGCTTGTTTTTAACCTGTAACTTCTGGTGACAGGGTCTCTTTAAAAAAAAAAAGATCCTGTTCTCACTATTGTAAAGTGAAGTGTCCCACTTTGCTTCAAACATCCAGTCGTATTCAAGGGAAACTCAACTTTTTTTTTCAGACTCCCCTGTTCGTGATTGGGTATTTGAAATCAACAAAGGCTTCAGGTCACACAATAGTAAATCAGGTCAAGGATCACGTCACTGCACCTCATAGTAAATGAGATCCTATATGCAACAAGTGCATTTGCACCGTGTATTATACACTTGTTCTAATTCTCTTTTTGGCTGTAGATTTCTCCTGATCTTGTACCTCAGCCAGTGACAGCGGATAAAAGTACAGTGAACTTTTGACTGCATGACTTCCAGCAAACATTCTTTGCTCTAACTCTTTACTCGGTTCCATAGGTTTGAGGAGCTGTGACCCAGCAGATGTGATTTGTTGGCTTGGTCACATTGCTCTCCCTGTCCCTTTTAATTCCCTACAGTGCCGGGTAAGCTCCATTGTCGAGGGATTAGGTCACCACATGACCAGCCTTACTCTCACAATCACTTCACTCCCATAGCTTTGTATTCATAGTCAATCAGGATCCAGACACGTGTAATGGGGCCGGCCTGCACTCTGCTTAATCATTGTCTGTACAAAGCAGTTAGGAGAGACAACATTGCAAAGTGTTTATAAGCTGTCTTGGCTGATGTTTAACCGGACTTGCCTAATTATGCAATTTTAACGTGTTCAAAAACTGGATTTGTTGACAGTGCGGAGCAATCTGTGTCCCGTCGTCTTTGGAAGACCAACATTGCAACTTGGCGGATGAGATTTGTGACGAGCCGGCTGGATTCATGGGAAATCCCCTTTCTTCTGTCCCGTGATGGCTTTTGTGACTGGAACACCACAAGGAGCCGAGGACTTGCTAACCGTTTCACCGGAGAAGAGCTGTTTCCTTGATGCATCCGACTCCAGCGATGTGGACGAAGGCCTGCTCGATGACCTGGAGCTAAACCCCTTCGACGGTTTGCCGTACTCGTCACGGTTTTATGAGCTTCTGAAGCAGAGGGAGAAGCTGCCCATTTGGAAAACCAAATATGTCTTCCTGGAGAGTTTGGTGCAGAACCAAATTGTGGTGGTGTCTGGAGGAGCCAAGTGCGGGAAAAGTTCACAAGTAAGTTTTCTGGCCAATGGTGCTTCACTTCTGCAGCTTAAAAAAGTTTAGAGCACATGATGAAAGTTGTTAATAACCTTGGTTGGCACTAAACCCATTTGATGGTTTGGTTTGCCGTGGTCATTTTGATTTTTGCAGGCTCCGGAAGCGGAGGGAAAAGCTGCCCATTTTGGAAAACAATGTCTTCCTGGAGATTGGCCTGGAACCAAATTGTGGTGGTGTCAGAAGGAGCCAAAACAGGGCTGGACAAATCCAGGAGCCAGGTTGCCAATGCTCCTTAAAAATTACAGCTGAAGTTTTCTAGTTGTCAATGGAGCTGGATCCTGGATTGGACAGACTGGATTCTGATTTACATATTAATTTGTACACCCCTGTAGTAATAAATAACATTGGGCTAAGCCAGGGCTGGACAAATCCCAGGAGCCAGGTAGCCAATGCTCCTTAAAAATTGCAGCTGGCAAACAACTTTTGAAGTTTTCTAGTTGTTGTTAATGCAGCTGGATCCTGTATTGGACAGACTGGCTTCTGAATTACATATTCATTTGTCCACCACTGTAGTAATAAATAACATTGGGCTAAGCCAGGGCTGGACATATTCCAGGAGCCAGGTAGCCAATGCTCCTTAAGAATTGCAGCTAGTGCCCAACTTTTGGGGTTTTCTCTAGTTGTCGTCAACAGAGCTGGCTCCTAAATAAAAAAAACCCTGCTGGCTCCTGGTTTGGACAGACCGACTCTTAAATTCCATATTAATTTGTCCACCCGTGAATTAAAATATGCCCTTATGTATTTCACTTTCTCTCTACCATACACGTATGTAAAACTCTCTTTTACACATGTGCAGTGTATACATCTGCACTGCAAATGCTTTCTTAGTCCCCATTCACACCAGGGCGTTTGTAGCTCGTATAGCTCAGCACGGAAAAGCACCGCACAAGCCTGTGAAGTATGCGCCTCTTTTTAGGGGAGATCAGCGTGATGTGACCCTTTTTTTTTCTTCTATTCCTAATCGCGCTGTCTGCCCATAAAAAGAAGCTTGTGTACCTTTTTCCAGCGACCGGCTTTTTTCTCAGAGCGACGCTATGCTGAGACGTGAACAGGGACTAGAGATCAATAGGATTTCTTGTGCGGAGCTTTTCCATGCTGAAAAATACAAGCTACAAACGCCCTGGTGTGAACCGGGACTTACCTTTTGTATCATCATTTCAATAGGTCACCTATAATATGCCACGAATGTGTGTATTTAGAAGAGTAAACACAATTTGATGTGCGATAACAGGTTATTGCTCATGAATCATGCAAGGCTGGTCACATGATGTCACATAAGTGTACACAGTTTACATTGACAATATGAATGGACTCTTGGCATGCTGAGGTGTTATTTGACTATTCGCCTCCACAGCTTCCTATTATCTGTGTTACAGGTTAGTATATGGAAGGCCAGTACTGGGTTTTATATATACACAGACTGTGGAATTAATTTATTCTCTCTTTAGTTTGTTACAAATTATGTGTTAACGTGAACCTGAGCTTTGCCTGTGGAGGTGTAAAGAAAATGTTCAATTTTAATTCTGTCCCTTTTAATTTTAACTTGCCTTCCCTTTCCTCCCACACCAGTTAAAGCCCATCTCCGGGCATACTAAAAAAAAACTATCATTACACCTGGGTTACCCCTGCACTGCAAGGGTTACGTGCTAGTTTTTGCTTAGGGGTGAGAAGTAAAGCACTTTTACTTACCTGATCCCCACTACTCTGATGGTCAGCGTTCACCTTTCTCCCCTCTGCTCTGGCTGATGGACTGTCCCTAGGTGTCCTCTTGTATAATTTAGGTATATGTAACCTACATTAGGTGTGATGATGTATGCAGTCCTTGGACTGCCATAGCCCAGGGGAGAAGGAGCTGCAAGGACCGGTCTATTACCCTGGTGGAAGCAGGTAAGAAAATCAGCATTTTTTTTCTGTCCACTTAGGCATAAACAAGCACTTAACCCTTGCAGTGCTGAGGTAACCCCACTGCAGGGGTAGCTTTTTAATTTGCCCAGTGATGGGCTTTATTTTACCCATTGGGTTCTGTTCTGTGTAAACTTTAATTCAATCCTAATTGGAATTTACACAGGTCTAAGGACTTTTCTCCCTACACCCATTTGATGGTGTTAGTGCCTGAGCAGCCAGCCACGCAGTACGAGCACTGTCATTTAGGAGGAAGGAAAAGCGTTGTGTGGTACCGTGTGTTTAAAGGAGAACTATGAGTGCTTTTCACTCAGCCTCATAGTTCTAGCCGACCTGTTGCAATGAGACTGTCGCAGGTCGGCTCAGTAGATCGGGAGGTGAGCGAACACATACCGGCGTTCGCTCACCTCTCGATCCTGTCACGGCTCTCTGCCGTGACAGGGGAGGGGCTGTATTCCCCCCTCCCCGCTCCGATCCGCCAGCGCTGACTGGCGGAACGGACAGGGGAGGGGGCGGGTACAGCTGGCTCTGCCTCTAGATAGGCAGAGCCAGCTGTCAGTCACGCAGCTGGGCGGATCCAGGCATAATTGTCGGGATCCGCTTCAGCTGCGGCATCTTGGTATACCGCGAGCAGCAGCTCGTGGTATACTGAGCCTAGGGTGACGGGAGGACGCTAGTTTGTGTCCTCCCGTTACCCTAAGGAGAACTATGGGGAAAAGCCTTAACCCCATAGTTCTCCTTTAACACATGGTAGCACGTAGCGCACACTGCATTAACACTACAGTGCGATCGACTGCGCTGAAACACGTGGAAGCACAATACTATGAATGGCTGTGCTGTGCAATTGTAAAAATGTAGTGAATGCACTACTTTTTCCAATGCGGTACCGCACGTTGTGGCACGGTTGTTCGCATTGCGGGCGGGAGGTGCATTTGGTGTGCCATTCAAATGAATCGCAACGCATCTCCTCAACTGTTCCCCCCCCCCTCCCCTGTCCAATCCTCCAGCGCTGACTGGCGGAACAGACGGGGGAGGGGGCGGGTACAGCTGGCTCTGCCTCTAGATAGGCAGAGCCAGCTGTCACTCACGCAGCTTGGTGGATCCAGACATAATTGTCGGGATCCGTTCCGGCTGCAGCTTCTCAGTATACCGCGAGCTGTAGTTCGCGGTATACTGAGCTTTGGGTGACGGGAGGACGCTAGTTTTGTGTCCTCCCGTTACCCTTAGAAGAACTATGGGGAAAAGCACTGACCCCATAGTTCTCCTTTTAATTAGTGGTGATTTATCTTTACTGTGCAAATGTACAAAAAAGTTTTTGGCCGGAGTTCAGCTTTAAACTTGAAGATGTTGCTTTGCCCTGCATAGAGCAAGTAAGGGTTTACTTTTAGTATGCGTGTTTAGTTCAGTAAGGGCTAATCTAAACCTGGAATCTCACCCATGAGGTTCTTAAAATCTGCTTTAAATGTATCTAAACTCAAGAAAACAATGTAAAATTGTTGAAACTTATCAGTTGTTAGATGTGGTGGATGCTTTAGTTTTTTCTTTCTTTTATTTTTGTTTCCTTTCTTTTCACCTGGTGATCCTGTCAGGAAACACACTTTCTGTACTAAGGTTACAAAACTCACTCACTGTGCTGTATCTATGGAGGGACAGCATTGTCTCCCTAGAACAGGTCTACAGGACACCACATCTCCTCTTCCCCATAATATGGACAAGTCCGAAGCGGGGCTGTAGCTGGGAGCAATGCTAACTAATAACAGGCAACACAGGCACAGATCACAACAAGTTATCAGCTCACTACATTTCTGACCTGAATAATAGGTATTTTGTGCACTAAGGCCTAGTTCACATGGGCGGTAAAACAATACGGCGGCCCGCTGCAAAGCGAGCGCACAGTGATGTACACATTGCAAAAAATATGTAGCATGGCACTTTTGACAGGTGGTGATGCTTATCAAACGCGAGAAATAGAATAAATGGGATCGCTCCGGGTGGGGCGCAGTATTTCAATAGAAGATCCCATTGAAAGAAAGTTCTACATCCAACGCAGCTTGTTTTTCAGGGGTGGGGGGTGGGAGGGGGGGATGGAGACTGCAGCTTGTGTGAACCTAGCCTTATCAAACATATAAACCAAAACAATGTCAACTGTACATTTAACAGATCAAATGGGAGCAAATAAGTGAAGTTCATTGTTTGTTTTCTTTACATTCTACCAAATGTTGAGATAAGCTATCAACCACACAGGGAGTGCATTGTTTTCAGCGAGTTAGCAGACTCATAGGCTTTCATTGTGAGAAGAAGTCGTTAAGCAGGACCATTGTGTAGCACTGCAAAGCAGGAAGCTGAGCCTGTGTAATCAGTCAATGTGGCTTTTCCCCGTTTACATATATAAGTACAAATTTCAGGGCTCATGCACATGGGCATACAGTATAAAACATGCCTGTATTTGTGGAGCATCACACACACGCATATGGGAGTAAGTCCCTGAACATGAAAATTCAGCGTGTGGAAGCTTGCGCCCATACATGTGAACGTGTAAACACCAGTACAGACGTGATAGAGGTGTATTTCACCCTGTATGGTACCTGTATTTGTGTCCATGTGCATGAGGCCTTGCACAAAAAAGGGTGTCTTAAGCTGATGTCCGTGACATATGCTCAAAGCCTGGCAAAGTGGCTATTAATAAAATATGATCAAGTCATATCGACATTCATATTGGACCGATTTACTCAAGTGTCCACATGACTCATGGCAACAATCCCATTGTCCCTTATTTTCTAGGTAGAGCTGGTTGAGTTCTGTTGGGCACCCAGACAGTTTTAGTTTCAGGCTCTTTGATAAATGAGGCCCACAGTGTTTTCTTGTAAGTAAAAGAGCTCATTAGAGCTCATCCCTTGACTCATCCGGAGGAATACTGGTGTTTACCTGCATTGAAGTTCCCATCCCCCTGAGATCAATTGCAGCTTCAGTATTGTTCATTAATCTTCCAGCAAGTCAGCTTGGATAGTGCAATCCCTGCAATGTGTACTCCGGTTTACAAAGAACCGTGAAAC